GACCCCATTTCTAGCAAATTTTTGTGCTGCTCAGCAATGTGACACAAGCCATCAAAGGGGGGAGGGGGTTCAACTTCATATTTACTACAAAACCATGTTGTATGAACACCTAACTGATGTGACCAATCAATAGGCAACCAATTAGACAGGCCCCTGCGCTATGTACTTTGTAATGTGTGGTGAGCTTTAAAGAGACTCGGTTACTAGGGGAAAGGGGGACAAACTGCTAGAGCAGGGGTAGGCAACCTTGGCACTCTCGCTGTGCAAACACTAGAAATCCCAACGGTCCTGTTCACACCGGGGCGGTTCGGCCATGTGGATCCGCCGACATGAACGATCCCATACATTTCTATGGGGACCATCCATGCGACCGCGTGGCTCAGCGTGATCTGAACTGCTCCCTGACCCTTTGTTTTGCCACGCTGATCAGTGCAGTTTCCATACTGCTTTCAATGGAACCTCGCTGATCCGCAGCCGCCCTGGTGTGAATGGGCTGTTATAGGACTTGTGGTTCCACAATAGCTGGAGTGCTGAGGTTGTGCTACGGGTATAAAAGTGCAGTTCCCACACCTTGTCACAGCTGAAACTTAGGCCATTCTTATAGTCAAATCTTCAGGCCCGGTGCAGACCTGAGCGATCGGGGATCACGCGACAGTCATTGCCGCGCTGCCCCATTGATTTCAATGGGGTGAATCGCGGCTGGAAATTGTGCAATCCACCCGGCGCGACTGGGGTGCCATTAGAAAATGATGGTACCCACAGCGTGATCGGCTGTGATGGGCGATTCCGTGAATCCGCTGTTACACTGCTCCCTCCAGCCTGTCTCCTCCTCCACTGCAGCAATGCTATGTCCCTAGGCGTCCCCGTGTCCTATACACTGTGTATTGGACATGATGATTCACAGGACCTTAGACCGCTGCAGCCCAGTAGGAGAGAGGCTAGAGGGTCCTGGATTGGGTGGGTATGACTTTTTTTATTTTGGCACCTAGACACAAATGAGCACTTAACCCTTGCAGTGCAGGAGTAGCCCCACTGCAAGGGTTAAGTTTGGCCTGAGTTCTTCTTTAGGTTGGCTATACACTAGTAGAATTTCAATCAATGATTTTCTAATGGTTAGTGGTGTCTAACAAATGTTTGTTTGTTTGTTTGTTTGTTTTTTTTATGTCATGTCTTCTTTATTGCAACAAAAAAACAAATTTTCCTGACTATTATAACAAAGAAAGGAGATGGATCTTTTTGAATAATTACAGATTAAAAAAGATAGAAATGAAACCCAACATTAGAGGCGATATTAACCTGTCTGATAATCCTCTGTTATTAGGACAAGCTCCTGAATACCCAGCAGGCACTTCACTTGAATAGTCATAGCGTGCTTGGAGTAGTGGGGATGTCACACATGGCTGAGCTCTCATTGTAACTCTTTCCTAATACGCTGCGTGCTCCATCTCTCCCCCACCGTGACCCATTATTAGATGATCACAAGGAGACCACGGTCTCCATGTACAAAGGGGAAAAAAACATTTATTTATAGACGTAAATTACAGTGGGGAAAGATTTTTATTTTTTTTGATTTTCACTTTTTCTCCTCGGCCAGCCTCCGTCATAAAGGACTGGACATTGAGGTGTGTAGAATCACGGATGGCAGCAGTCTAGGAAGGCACCGGCAGGTGAATGGGACAGGACGGTCGGGTGGTGGCGTTTCCCTCTTCTGCAGCAAATGCCTAAACTTTCCAAAAACCTGGTCCTGCTAGATGCAGCCACTCTCCTTTACTTTTCCTACAAGGTCCTCTACAGTCTCCACTTTCACGCCAGCTTGTCTCTGCGGTGGATCCTCCACGCTCAGAATCTGTATACTGCTCGCCGTGTCCACTCCAAGATCTGTCGGCTTCACTGTCTCAATCTTCTTCTTCGCTTTCATGATGTTCGGTAGAGTGGCATAGCGTGGCTCGTTCAGTCTCAGGTCTGCGATCACAACGGTCGTCGATCTACCGGACCACGGTCAGTTTGTCTCTTTCTACCGTCACTTTTGACGCAAACGTTGCCTGAGGCCAGTCAAGCAGCGCGGCGGTCATTTGTCCAGTCTGATTACAGTCATCATCGATGGCCTGCTTTCCCAGAAGCACCAGGTTCACGTTCTCTTTCTTGGGCACGGCGGCCAGGATCTTGAAGACCTGGAAAGATCCGAGCGTTTCGGAATCCTTAGCTGGGACGTCTACGTGGATGCCGCGGTCAGCTCCCATGGCCAGAGCCGGCTTGATGGTCTCCTGGCACTGCTGTGGGCCGCAGCTGATGGCGATGATTTAGCTGACTATCTCCTTCTCCTTTAATCTGACGGCTTCCTCCACGTCAATCTCGCAGAAGGGATTCATCGAGTGTTTCACCCCATTGGTTACCACGCCGGTCTTATCCGGCTTCACGCGGACCTTGACCCGCTTGACACCGACCACAAATGTTTGTTTTTGACCATAGTGACAAGTTAAATCGAAGGAGCAGAATGGAAAAGTGATCTTGGTTGTTATCTGAACGAAAGAAAATCTAATTGTGAATGACATTTTGTTTGTGAAAAATCACGACTTTCATATTGCACATGTGCTAGGCACAATAGAACCCTTTGTAATACATCTGGGATTCCATTCAGGTAGCAGGTTTGGGTGACATTTTTAAGGGCTATTGAACTAAATTAGTTGATGTCATAAAAGCACCATCAAATGTTTTGATGAACGATATTGATTGAATGCTTGGACAAAGTTATACAGTAGCAGTGTATGGCCAGCGACAGTGATGTGTCACTAACCAGAAGTGTCAGAGTGACCAGGCACCTGACCATGACAGAAGGTTTGGGAGGCTGCTGTAGGTGTCTACACTTTATATCTGCAGAGGTTTTCCCCCTTCCCCTCAATGATAAAGTCTCTTTAAGATTGGAATGTTCCAGCATTTTACACTTTAGAAGAAGAAAAGGAAAACCAAAGAGCAAAGAAAAGCTTTATTTAAATGTATTGTTTGTAAACCTGGATATGCAGTGCCCCCTTGTGGAAGAAAAGGACATATATTTGATACAGTTTATTGTAAGTCTGTGCACTACAGGCATTCCTCGTTTAGCGACCGAGTTCCGTTCCTACGACTAGGTCGTTAAACGAATTGGTCGCTTAACGAGGAATTGTATACAGTACAGTATAATATGCACGTTACAATATTCAGAGCAAAGAAATGGACAAAGGAAACTCTAACTTGATAACTTTGCTTTTATTTGCATAAAAGTAGTACTAGAGCTTGACTGTATAGTACAATCAGCAAAACAGTACTGTACTGTATAAACAAGGTGTACTGTACAAAAAAAATACATTGAGGCTCACTAAACAAGATGTATGCAAGAAATTTTGTGGTGCCCTTTGTTGGCTGGCTGGAGTTGATGGGGATGCAAGCTCTTGGGATTACTCAGATCCTGGGGGCCGGCATCTTTGACAACTCCAGTTAAATGAAGGTTATTGCAGGGTTTCATATGTCTTGCATTTATCGATGGCTAACATGGTAACACACTGTACTGTACTGTACTAAACAGGTTGTACAGAATTGTACCAAAAAAAATAAAACATTCAAGCTAGCATTTAACAGGGTTATTCACAAAAAGGTGAAGAGTTTGGAGAAGACAGGAGAAGTGAACAATCTAGGATAACATAGCTGATCTAGAAAGTGAGCTGAATTGGAGAGTTTTTCCAAATCAGCTATGTTGTCCTAGATTGTTCACTTCTCCTGCCAGCTCCAAACTCTTCACCCTTTTGTGAATAACCCTGTTAGTCTTTGAATCCTAAAAAGGTATCGTCAGTGTCATCATCGGAAATTCTGATCAGGAGATGTAGAAGGCCCGGGCAAGGGAGATGATGAAGTAGAAATAGAAGAACTAGTAATTGGGGTCCTGGGAGTAGCTTTCGAGAAAAATACCATTAGTGTGCTCTGTTTTGTCATTTTCTTTTTTGCTTCGTAAAAGTTCACTTATTTGCCGTTCCACTTTTGTGAACCGTTCAACAATCGAATCCATAGCTTCCAGTTCAAACATAACTGCATTCACTTTTGAGAACACACCCGCTAATCCCTTTGCAGTTAAGTTCTTTGGTACTTCTTCAATTCTTCACTCTTCTTGAGCATTATCAAGCAGAAGGATGATTTTAAAGAAAACGCCCTTTTCCAGACAGTAGGGCGTTCTTCACCGAGGGTGTAAAGCAGTTATTGAACCAATCAAATAAAGCTTAATAAAGCTTAACGGGCAATGTGTGTTTACTAACGTTCTTCAATGCACGTGGGTTCTCGGACCGATAGATGAGGAAAGGCTTGAACCCAGTAACATTTCCTCCCAACAACAATGTGACCCTGTCCTTAAAGGAGAACTATGAGGTGAGTGAAAATTACTCAACCTCATAGAGTGAATACCGCCGCTCGCTCACTTCTCGATCATCTCCCTACAGAGAGCCGTGACTGTCACTCACGTCTCCGTGCAGGGATTCCCCCCCTCCCCTGACCGATCCTCCAGTGCTGACTGGCGTAACGGACGGGGAGGGGGCGGGTACAGCTGGCTCTGCCTCTGGATAGGCAGAGCCAGCTGTCAATCACGCAGCTGGGTGGATCTCGACAGTAATGCCGGGATCCGTCCCGACTACGGCGGTCTCAGTATACCGCGAGTTGTAGCTCGCGGTATACTGAGCTTTGGGTCACGGGAAGACGCTAGTTTGTGTCCTCCCGTGCCCCTGGGGAGACCTATGAGGAAAAACACTTACCCCATAGTTCTCCTTTAAAAGCCTTGAAGCCAGGCATTGTTTTAGCTTCATTGTGTATGTAGGACCTTTCAGGCATTTTCTTCCAAAAAAAGTCCAGTTTTATCCACATTGAAGATTTGTTCTGGACAGTAGCCACCTTTCTCTATGATTTTATCAAATTGGTCAAGAAATGTTGCTGCTGCTTCCACATCTGCATTTACCGCCTCACCACTGACACTCCGATTATGCAGGTTAAATCTGCGACAAAACCTCTGAAACCATCCATGACTTGCTGTAAAAGTTTGTCGATTCTTCACCTTCACATGCCTTCAAAGTCTTGAAGATACTGAGTGCCTTGGCTTGAATTATTGAAAGACTCATTGGCATTCTTTTTTGTATCCGGTCATCAAACCAGATCGCCAATAATTTTTCCATGTCATGAATGAGGCCTTTCCCCTGCCTAGTTATTATGGCTTTAAAACCTGTTGATGTTTTCACTGCCTCCTTCACTTTGTCTTTGTCCTTCAAGATGGTTGAAATGGTTGAATGTGCCAGATTCACGTCCTGTGCTATTGCATTAACTTTTTTACCAGCTTCATAGTCATTTATGATCTTCACTTTCATGTCAAGATCAATAGCTTTCCTTTGTTTTTTGCTGCTTTCTCCTGGTGAACTCTTCCGTTTTGATGACATCTTGTACTAAGGGGTACAAAATAAACAATACAGTATGGAATTAGGTACTCCATACTTTGTCACACGTCGGCTCGAACTATGAGGCTGAGTGATTTTAACTCACCTCATAGTTCTCCTTTAATGGACATGCGTCCCACCCCTCTGTGATCTACTCCTAATACTGCTTTTCTAAAAATGAAAGCATCATGGAAGTGGGAGGGATTATACTTTGCTAGCCAATTGCTTATTTGATTGCTAATGTCCAATTCCTGCTAAAGGTGGAGGTATAATCCAATGGCCTCAAATTCAACTAATCCTGTGTCCCTCGATGAACTCCAAGGAAAGGATTTTCCGGTGAGTACAAAAATCCTGTTACTGTGTTTAAGGGTGTCTGGATATACTGTATACTGCTGCATTCTCTTCTGCTACGCATTACAGAAAACATGTTGTCAAAACTTGGTGTTGTGATTACATACATTAAAGAAGAACTCCAGGCAAAATGTCTATTAACCCGTGCAGTGGGCTAGTCAGCACTGCAAGGGTTAATTGCTCATTTTGGTCTAGGGAGAAAAATAACAAAGTTATACTTACCTGTTCCTCCTCCGGCTGTGACAAACTCCCTACAGCCTCTCTCCTCCTGCGCTCCAACAATGGTATGTTCTTCAGTGTCCTCACATCCTATACACTGTGTATAGAACATGATGACTCAGGGACATTAGAACCCTGCATTAAAGGGGGAGAGGCTCCAGGGACTGGTCTAAGAACAAGCCGGCCCAGAGGTTTGGGTGAGTATACATTTTTTTATTTTACTCCCTAGACCAAAATGAGCAGTTAACCCTAGCAGTGCAGAGTAGCCCACTGCAAGGGTTAATAGGTGTGCTTCTTTAACCAGTTTTATTGCATTTCCAAAGACTGGGTCACACTGTTCTGGTGATCATGTCTTTACTGGTGTCTTATCTTCAAATTGGAGATGCAGTTTGTTTGCAGTTTTAAAGTAAACACTAACTAGTAAAGCCCGGCAGATGTTGTCATGTAAGATAGAGAGGGTAAAGCCCGGCAGATGTTGTCATGTAAGATAGGGAGGGTAAAGCCCGGCAGATGTTGTCACATAAGATAGGGAGAGTAAAGTCCGGCAGATGTTGTCACATAAGATAGGGAGGGTAAAGTCTTTTTTTAGTTTTAGATAACATTCAAAAACAACCTGCGATTTGCTCCCATATATAACAGAATGCTGTAAAATGACATACACATCCCAAGGATAACAATGTAAATAAAACCCAGCACACTTAAAGCTGAACTCCAGCCTTCCCTACAGTTGTACCAGCTCCTGTACTGAAATTGATTACTCTGTTTTAACTGCACACGGTGAGCTTCTCACTGTGTGCAATAGAAGCCACAGCAAATCAGATAGAGCCTCTTGTTTCCTGGCTAGAGAATGGCCAACATCATCTAGCTCTTTCCTCCCCATTCTTACTGTCTCTTGCCTATGCTCTTCATTAATTGGATTTAACTTATTTTACTCATTAGCCTTAGCTAATCAGATGTGGGCATTACCTAGGGTGGTCTGCATGCACATTTGTTTTGCCTGATGAAGGAATTCATTGGGTTCCGAAACATTGCTTTATTCTTCACTTTTCGCCCGGTGCCCGCGCCCCTGCTGCACCCCCGGTTGTTACGCCACTGTGTGACACCATGCTTTTCCGAACGTCAGTTGAGGACGGATCGATAATGTGGACTTCGGTGTGCTGGTGACTTTACTGCTTTCTCTGTCTAGGGATGCCCACTCCTTCAGACTGACATCCACCTATCAAGACATTGATATTTGCATAGCTCTTCTAAAGAGCCAACCCATTGCTTGCATCAGGGCTGAGGGCTCTTCAGAGGAGTATTAAGGCAGAGTGCTGTGATGTTTTCAGCAAGCTTTGTACAGCACTCTGCCGGCAGGGCCGGTGCTAGGATTCTTGCCTACACAGGCAAGGTGCATTTTTGCTCACCTCATAGTTCTAGCCGACCTGTGACAATGAGACTGTCACAGGTCGGCTCAGTAGACCGAGAAGTGAGCGAACACCGGCATGTGTTCGATCACTTCTCGATCCTGTCACGGCTCTCTGCCGTGACAGGGGAGGGGATGGATTTCCCCCTCCCTGCTCCGCCAGCGCTGACTGGCGGAATGGACGGGGAGGGGGCGGGCACAGCTGGCTCTGCCTCTAGATAGGCAGAGCCAGCTGTCACTCACGCAGCTGGGCGGATCTCGACATCGATGTCGGGATCCGCTCCGGCTGCGGCGTCTCAGTATACCGCATGCTGTAGCTAGCGTTATACTGAGCTTAGGGTGATGGGAGGACGCTAGTTTGTGTCCTCCCGTTACCCTAAGGAGAACTATGGGGAAAAGCCCTGACCCCATAGTTCTCCTTTAAATATCAATCAGCTCTTGGAAAAAATGAACTGTGCCTTTAAATCCACATGCAGCAGTGAGTTGATAACCTCCAGCCAGAAATAAAACAAGCAGCTTACCAGAATCATAGACTTTGAAGTAAAATAGGTCCGTATAAGCTTGTGGTCACTTGACCAGAGCAGCCTTCGGTTGTCAGCTGCAAGCGTGCAACTCCTCTGTTCTGTTTTGTATTTTTGTCTTGTTACCTATGCATCCCAACCATTTCAACACATTCATGATGAAAAGGAGACTTAAAGAGACTCCAATAGTGCAGATCAATAATGTTTATTAAAATCTTGTAAAAACATTCAGGCTGTAGCAATGCCTACAACAAAGAACAGAGTGGCACGCTTGAGCTGCAACTGACTACCGAAGGTTGCTCTGGTCAAGTGAGTACAAGCGTATACTGATCTCTTTTACTGTGAGGTCAATGATTCTGGGAAACTGCTTGTTTTATTCATGGTGGAAGTGACAAACTAACAGGTTAATTTTTTTGGCAATTTTAATATCATTTAAACACCACTAGAGGGAGGCATGTGGATACATAAGACCAAATAGTACACGCTACATATGACAATGAAGTTTAATTGAGGCTAAAAATATATCAATGTGATTAGCTTAAATAAGAGTGCAGTGTATTTGCATTGACTACATTTTCTGAGTTATTGCAGACTCTGGACTTTCATGTTTTTACCTGTTTGCTCTTCCATATGGTGTTATTGTATTAAATAGTATAATTAATAATAAAGATTTGTACCTTACGCCATACACTGTATGAATTTCAGCTGGTTCTTGATAAATTAGCCAAAATTAGTTAAGTGGGTCCCCTCTCAACCAGAAACTCAAATGTCAAATTTTTGGAAAGGAACATTTTTGGCTGAACAGTGATATCAGCCAATTGGGGAAAGGAGTAGAGAGGCAGAAGAGTCAATGTCCTTACTCATTTACTTGTATGTGTAAATTTCAGCTTGACCTGATCAGCTTTTTACAACAGGAGATATGGACTTACTGGCTAAATATAATACTATACATTACTATACAATGTTTATTTTTACCTTACTAAAACAAGAAAATGTCATTTTAAACATTTTATTTTGTAGCCCTGACAATAATAAACAAAAATTTACATGATCCACTATACATTGCCTTAGCATAACTTGAGCAACTTAGAAAACTTACACTTAATTTGCTTTAGAAAGCAGCCACAGCCTGTCCTCTCCCAGACGACAGCATGTGGTGGAGACGGAGGATGACTTCTCCCTCTCCCTGATGTCAGTTCCTCCAACCCAGTCCCAGGCGCAGAGGAGAGAAACAGATGGAGGGACTCAGCCGACTCTATAAGTGACAGCGCAGGTGTATGATCCATCCCTCAGACTCGTAACTTCATAGGACGTCCGGGGTGGTGGGGGGGTGAAGGGCTCAGCCTTGTGCGCATGCACACTGCGAAATTCATCATATGTTATATATAGATATATATATCTATATATATATATCTATATATAAACAATATAAGTGTAACCATGTGACATAGGGAGCTTTGTTGGACCCACGCATGCTCATTAGCCATTAGATGTATGGACTGGCGCAGAGGAGCGTCAGTGAATGAATAATTGCTGCCATGTCAGAGTAGTGCGCACTTCCTGACAACACACTTTCATGATAACTAAGGTATAGCAGCCATAAGAAGTATTCATAAAATATAGCATTTTAATAATGTTAAGCAGGTAAGAGCCCAGTGAGTTTGGTAAGGTGTAAACATTGTGCAACATTCAAAAGTAAAAGCAGTTGAAGGCAAGATTAGTAACATAACAAATTCCTCGTTCAGAACACCAGGAGTGAAGATTAATACCTTGTACATCAGAGTATGGAGAACATGTGTTTTCACTCGTCTTCCAGTAATGGACGGTGCTCAGCAGCAGCTCAGGCACTCAGTGCTGTCACACGGGTGGAGGGGTAGAAAGACTTTCCGTTCGACACTTCACCAGATGCATGGAAAGTAAATACTGTATATGCAGCACCAACTGTGGCAGCCTGGCTCGCATCAAGTCTGAGCCCTTCACACGTCCCCGGACACACCCCGGAATTCTTATGAAGTTACGAGTACGAAGAATTGATAGAAAACCGGCGCAAGCAAGGAGCCACAAGTGCAGTGTGAATAATGTTCCCGGGCGTGAAGTAGACTTATACCTCGACACACGATTTCACACCCGGACTGTCCTACCTTGCCTGGGTCTGCTGGGCCCCCCCAGGCTCAGGCCCTGGTGCGGTCGCACCTACTGCACCGGCGGTAGTTCCGCCCCTGTGTCCTCTGTTAGAATGCTGTAAAGAAAGAGCCTTGCTCTGTGTGTGGAATCAGTGTTATCTCTACAATGTCCCAACATGCTTCCTTCTCCAATCAAAACTAGAGATTTCCATTTGCAAAACTACAGGTCTGACTCATCAGGGGTTGTATTGGACCTCTGCCGAGAGACCAATGCTTTCACATGCTGTCACTTCTCAAGAGAATGAAGGCTTTGCACACCTGGAATACATCAGAAATTCAACAAATTTAAACCAAAGAGTACAACTGGGCTTTTAAAATAATTAC